AGTAGGCACTAGGCATGGTGGGTGCATCACTTCACCTGCCTCTCTTCTTACCCTGATTCGCCCATCACTCTGCCACAGGGTAAATCTGGACTCAGACCACATGACCTTCTTCCATTGCTCCACAGTCCAATCATTATGCTCCCTAGCAGATTGAAGCCTTTTTTTCCGGTTAGCCTCACTGATTAGTGGTTTTCTTATGGCTACACAGCTGTTCAGTCCTAATCCCTTGAGTTCCCTTTGCATTGTGCGTGTGGAAATGCTCTTACTTTCAGTATTAAACATAGCCCTGAGTTCTACTGCTGTTTTTCTTTGATTTGATCTCACCACACGTTTAAGTGATCGCCGATCACGATCATTCGGGATTTTTTTCCGGCCACATTTCTTCCTTGAAGATGATGGGTCCCCACTATCCTTCCAGTTTTTAATAATGCATTGGACAGTTCTTAACCCAAATTTAGTAGTTTCTGCAATCTCTTTAGATGTTTTCTCAAACAGAATAACATCTTTTCCACGACCATGGAAATGTGTCTTTCGACATGGTTGTTTAGGAAATGAGAAGCAAGTCATTGCATCAGTTGGGGTTAAATAACTTGTTGCCAGCTGAAAGATAATCGCCCATGCAGTAATTATCCAATAGGAAGCTCGTACCTATTTGCTTAGTTGAATCCAGGTGGTGACTTTTTTTTTTGGCCAGGCAGTGTAGAAGTATTCATAACCTTTGACCTGAAAGTCGCTTTTTTAAAGGTCCTATAATCATGGAACATTCAAATTTTGGGGTATCTTAACGCTTGTAACGTAACTAGAGCTGTAAAGGCAGCTCTGGTTGACATTAGAAAACGAAACAAAAATATTGTTGCACGTTCTAAAACTTCTAAAATTTCACAAAATAAATAAATAAAAGGGTTATTTAAAAATCAGAACTGAAGAGTTTTGAGCTCCCCCACTGAGAGAGGAGTGTGTTAGCTGTGAGGAGGGGGCTGCGGCAGAGGGGGTCCCTCTGTGTCCGCCTTGCTGCGTTTAGCGGGCAGCGTCTGGTCATGAGCCTTCCGGATGTGTCGGTATAAATCCCCAGACTGCGTGTAGCTCCTGTAGCAATAACGGCACTCATACGGACGCTCGCGCGTGTGCACGATGGCGTGGCGTCTCAGAGTGTACGTGCAGGAAAAAGTCTTCCCGCACACTCCGCATGTCGGCACGTCTTCCACAAAGTTGCCCATGGAGTCCTGGAGTTCTTGGAAGTAGGCGGGGGGGTCATGATGTTGCTGAGACGAGGACGGAGGAATGAGGGAGGCCGCGTCCTGGGAAGAAGGTCCGGCACCTGAAGACGAGGATGAAGGAGAAAGGGGGAAGGAGTAGTCGTTGGAATGAGGGGTTATCTGTAGGAGTCCCTGTGAATGTGTGGAGACAAAGTGCGGACTGCTTAGCTCTTCCTCCTGGATGTCCTCCTCATACTCCTCTTCCACATCCATCACAGATTCTTTCTCTCCGATGTCCTCTTTCTCCTCAAACTCTTCGTCAGAAATAACAATCGCCTCCTCTTTGATTTTCAAGATCTCCTCAACCTCGCCTGTCCTTCCTCCCCCCAGAGGTCGTGTTCTAGCTACAACCGAAGCTCCTGCTTCGTCCTCAGGATGCTGAAGAGTTTGCAGTCGGGGAGCAGCCTGAAGCTCTGAGCTCTGGAGAGTTACGGCACTCTGAATTCTGATCTGCATCGGTGTCTGTTCAGGTGCCGAGTGTCTGGAGTTTGTTTGGACGTGTTTGGTGGGGGCTTGGATAGACCTGACCGTCTGCTGATCTCTGTTTCTGTGATCATTCTCTGAGAGGTGTTCACCAGACGGTCTAAGAGGGTCTGGGTGGGCGCTGACAGAAAGACGGGATTTTGACAGGCTGAGAGACACCACAGGACGACCATCCGACTGTCTGAATGTGATCAGGGAGGAGGAAGAGGGGGAAGGCTGCTGGATGGCACTGTAGCTGGATACAAACAGATAAACAGATTCAGACTCAGTTATAAAGAAGAATCTCAATTAAGAACTAAGAACCAACTAAGAACTCCAGTAAACTCTGGTAACACATTAAAAGAATAAATCTTTATGTAGATGTTGACAATTATCAATCTGAATTTGGAAACTTGCAGTTTTATAAAGATCTCTGAGGTCCGGACCAACATACTCTGACAAGAAACAGACTCATCTTTACAGTGAGTAAAGCTTGACTCAATAACAGTGCTGTTAAAAAACACTAAACACATACAGCAGGATGCTGTAGACTGTTTAAAATTCCAACTTAATCTCTTTTGGTTTGTTAAAAACACCTTTTTCCTGTTGTGGCGACATTCTCTCTCCTGCACAGAGAGATGTTACCTCTGAAAGACATACATTACTGAGAGCATTTAAAAACAATACCTACGCTTAGTTGCAGAGAATGTCCCCTAAACCGTGGTTATTCAGATATTCAAAATCTGTTTACAATTAAAGGGTCACATATACCAAGTGTTTGATCAGATTAAATCATTTACAGCGGGACCTCTCTCATTATTCTAAGTAAGAGAATTTGCACGATCAGTGGCTGACTAAATACTTTTTGGCCCCACTGTAAGCATGCGTTGAACTTCTAGTGTTCTGATGTTGTACAAATGAGCAGTGGTGATTATTTTACTCTAAAGGTCTGAATGGGTGTGCAGATGGTGGCCAGTCGGAATGTTGATCGACAAAAACAATGCTCTGTTTTTGTTCCGAATCAGATCAGAATCAGTTTGACATGTTTGCGTGAAACATATTTGATCCGATCAGATTTTCAGTCCGATATGTGTCCATGTAAACATAACCGATCCAAATCGTCCCAATGGGACAGAACTTTTATTCTGAAAGAGAGATGGATTTAAAAAAAAAAAGATCTCCACTTCGCTTGTGTGCAATATAAGAGCGACATTTTTTTCCAGAAAATTAGACAGTTCCACACATGCTTAAATGATTTAATCTGATTCAAAGCTTGGTACATCGATACACATGTCATGATTGGATCAATTATTTTGTGTCTATGTAAGCAGGGATTTGGAATTTGCAGTTATAAACAAAACTAAAGCCACAGAAGCAGCCTGGACTCCCTGCAACAAAATGCATATTTCTTTGTTATTATTCACTGAACTGACACTTCACATAATAATTCCTGTTTTATTTAAATACTTTTTTCTATTGTAAGCTTAAAACAAGTAAAATAGTTATTAGTTTGATTTAAATCAGCTTCAAATTGATAAAAACAACCAACCAACAATAGAGTTTTACCTGTATGTTTCTGTGGTGCTACATGGACTGCAAAGAGAAGATCCTTCGTTTTGACTCCCTGGGCTCATCTTAGTCAGGCCTGCAGGGAGGAGGGCAGAAATGTTGGTCTGGGTCTGCACCAGCTCCCTGGATGGAGGCAGAGAAGTGATGTCCATGCCTGGTTGAGTAGTATCAGCGAGGTCAGGGCTCAGAGGAGTTTGTGTCTTAGATGAACCTCCACCACTCCTCTGCTGAGACTTCACACCCTCCACCGGACTCCTGTCTGCCACTTCTAAGACTGAGGAGGAAAGAGGTGCAGCTGTGCTCACTGGATTTGTGTGGTCTGCAACCATGGCTACCACAGGCTCAGTTGCATGCTCTCCTTCTGCCTCTGGTAGCCTCCTCTCTTCAGAGCGCGTGCTGTCCGCCTCAGCCAGAGGCCCTCGTCTCTGCAGTCGCCTCTTACACACTCTTACAACCTCGTTCATATGCAAAAAGCTCGCTGCTGCCAAGATGTCCTCCACAGGAGGAGACTCTTCCAGATGCAAAACACCTTCGTAGACAAAGTCCAACAGCAAGCCAAACGCAGCAGATGTGACAATATCATTGTCAAGTGTCACGCAGCTGCTGGTGCTGCTCCCTGCAGGGGAGTCCGAGTAGAACATGTGAAAGAACGGGGAGCATGAGGCCAAAACCGCCCGGTGAGCCAGGAAACGGGATGAGCCCACTTGTACAGTGCAATCACAGAGAAAGCCCCGCTGCCGCTGGGAACGCAGCGCCGACAGCAGCTGCTGGGAATGCTGGGGAAATTCCATGACCTGAGGGACAGACACAGATCCAGAATGAAACGCTACAGGGATATTTCACATATGAGATACAGGATTCATGCAAGAAATTTTTATTTCCTCATTTTCTCCTCCAATGTGGCTCTTTTCCTTTGGTATCTGATGTGATGGGACTTCATTAATCAATCCAGAACATGCAACAGATTCTTGATTTTAAATGAGGCTTGGAAAATTTGGAAGCCATGTAAACATTTTAAAGCTGTTATTCTACTTAAAATATTCTTGAACTGTTTTTTCTTTGAAGCAGATTATATCATCTTATTAAAAGGGAAGTGTTTTGCAAAACATAACATCAATATGAAAGGCTGGACGCAGCAGAAGTTGCACAAGGAACTACATCAGCAGGCTAACCTTCTTCTCTGTGCATTCTGATATGTAGTCTAGTTAACCTTACCTGGGTGTGCCACAGTGTTGCTAGACTGTGTGTTTTGTTTTAAGTGCTTAATGTTACTATCTAATTTAACATTGTATACATATAGTAGCAAAATCAAGTAGCAACTGTTGAATACAAGTTTAAAACTCACGATGAGGACAGTTATAAGTTTCCTTTTTCGAGCTCTTGCTCTGACAGCCTGATCTCCAGAGTGCTGCTTTACGTTACCGTATCCCCCTCTCCATGGCAACCAGACTGGATTTCTGAGTCCAAAGCCAAGAACCGAACCTTTTCGTAAAACAACATACATTAACAGCTAGAAAACGAATTAAGGAAAGCTACAACATCGTATAAAACCCATAAAACACAGATTTCTTCACATATTATGCAAGCAAAAGGGGGGAAAAAAGGCATTAGCTCAATGACGCTATCACTAGTTAGCAAGTTAGCTCAACGTCTGTGAAATTATGTACACCTGGAACTTTGAAGCCGACAAGTTTCAGACCCAAAGAAATGTTTAAACGTATCTTACAGATCTCGAAATTAATGTTATCGTAAATGGTAGATTATTTTTACCTGCTTTCACTGTTATGTTTCCCAACAAGAGGGTTCTTCTTCTTCTTTTCTATTATGGCGGATTGCAAGCAACTTTAAGCTGCATGCTGCCACCTACCGTACATGACTGTGTAGCAACATTACTTTACATCAAATTCTATTTTTTAATTTTCTGTGGATAAATAAACAATGCTTTCCTTAATATTTCCTTCATTTCCCAATATCCCTTTAAGACTCCATTCTTGGCCTGACTTTCCAACCATCCTTCTCAATTTCTCCCTTTCATGTTCATAAGTTTTACAGTTGATCAGTACATGTTCCACATTTTCTTTTTCTCCACATCCTTCACATTTATCATTATGTTTCCTTCCTATTAAATATAAATTTTCATTTAAATAGGTATGACCCACTCTTACTCTGATGATTATTACTACTTCCCTTTTTTTTTTCTCTAATTAATGATTCTATTTAATACTGATGTTTATACCTTATATAACCCTCTTCCTTTCTTATACTCATTTTACCTCTTTTTCCATTTATTTACTCTTAATAAGTGATTTCCCTTCCCCTTTCCCAAAAGGAATTGTAATGGTTATTGTTCCCTCTAAAGCCCTTTTTTGCTAATATATCTGCTTTTTCATTGCCTTTTACACCTTCATGTGCTGGAATCCAACATAACCAAATATCAATGCCACCCCTATATAATATATATATAATCTAAATAGACTGTGCTTGATTTCTAATACTAAATCTTTTCTATAATTTCCTTCTCCCTGAATCATTTCTAAAACTGCTTTGGAATCTGTACAAACCACCACCCTGTCTGGTCTAACCTCCTCTACCCACCGTAAGCTTAGTATAATTGCCACAATTTCTGATTTTCTTTTAGAAATGTATATCTTAAACTCTGGTATATATATATATATATATTGCTATTCCCACACATCCTTTTAAATTCTTAAAACCATATGAATATATTTTAAGGTAGTTATAATATCAGTTTCTTAAATATATATCACTCTTTATCCCTATTTCATTTAAATTCCAATAATTTTTCATTTTAAGAAGTCTCGTGTCTACATTTATCTCAGGGAATAGCCAAGGAGGAATAACACTAAACAGCAGGGTCCTTGGACAAAATTCAGAAACCAAAAGCAAAAAGTTTGTTAAATCACCTCTCCAATTTAATTCAGCCCTCCCTCGATACAAATAAAAAAATAATGCTTACTTGGCTTTTTTTGTGTTTGTGTGTGTTTTATATTTTCTATTATTTTTATTTATTCATTTATCATTCATAATTCTGTTATATTCGACATATGTAATTATAGAGATATCCTTGGATTTCGATTTTTTTTCTCTCTTTCTGAAGTGCATAAACTACTAAGGTCGATGTTTGGTACATTGCCCAAAATTAATTTAAGAAAGGGTTTTCAAAAGATTAAAACAGGTAAAAACCAGTTTTAAAGACCAAAAACGCCCTGCTCCTGACAGCTGTGGCGCCTGAAACCAGGCACTGTTTTAGTCTTATATTGCCTAATGTAGACATTAAAACGACTTCTTTTACTTCTCTGCTACTCTTTGTAATACATGAGGATTATTTTATAGTTTAAGTTTGTTGCATTGAATGTTAGTCATAGTGAATTCAGCTTAGTACTGCATTGTAACATTATACAGCAAGTCTTTACCACAGCGAGCGAAAAGCAGTCAAATTATTTCCTATATAAGTTGTAATGCATATTTGTGTCCTGTTGCTATGACGATTTGCCATAAACTAAACATCTGTTTACCTCGAAACTTGAAAGAAAAGAAAAAAATATTAAGAAAAGTGTTAGGAGGTATGATTGACTATATGTTCTGTTTTATCATACTGTATTGTTTGAATTTGTCATCGTTACTGTTCCAAATAAAGTTATAAAAAATAAACAGCAGGTTTGCGTTTCTTTCTCTACGGTGCTAGTTTGCAGCTTCCTGAGATGTCGCCACCTACCGGCTGAGGTAAGAAAAAAACAGGAAGTGAGAATAAGAACACGAGCAGAAGCAGAAGGGTCGCTGCACTTATGAGCTGTTTGAATGGAGGCGACTGTTTGTTAGGTATTAATGAATAGACCTAATAGGCTACATAACTTAATGAAGCACAAAATGTGCCAAAGCTAATTGTAGATAAATTCCTTTAATGACTCAATCCTCAAGCGCAAACCCTGATCCACCTTTATTTTAATGGACAGAGGAAGAGGAAGAAGAGGTAAAGAAGAGGTGAGAACAATATTAACTGAATAAGTTATTCAGCTTGTTGCCTTTCTAATTGTTGGATTATAAGATGTTTAACTATGATTATCAGGATGCATGGGAGGTTTTACACTGTTAAGTCTAAATATAAATCCAGGCTATAATTAGGATGGAAGAAGGTTGAGTGTGTATTAGATGATCCCTTCTTTCCCAGCAGGACAGAGATGTCCGTCTGTCCAAATCAATGTCTTATGTGCTTCGTCATGGAGCTGCAAAGATGGGGCTTCAACTGGCCACAGGTGAGCTCATACTTGCTGTTTTCTACACAAATGTGTATACAAAACTTCCAACAAATGGCCATTATAATAACGCTTAAATTTTCCTCTTATATTGTCACTATGTAAAAGGTGACAATTTAATTCAATATATGTCAAGATGGTGTTCTCGATATGAAGACGTTAGCGGAGACTTTGCTGCATGTAAACAGTTTAAAAATAGCAAGTAGATTTATTCAGACTAAACATTAAATGTGTGACCAGATTCCCTAACGGCTCTTATCTCCACAGATGGTTTCCTGTACGTGAAGGACCTCTTGGCTCACCCCCAGTTTCACATGTACACATCAGAAGACATCGAAAGAGTCGTTGCTACAAACGAAAAGCAACGCTTTAAGCTCCGCTCCCACCCAGACGATGGCCGGCTGCAGATTAGAGCCAATCAGGGACATTCTGTACAGGCAGGCAAAACCGATACAACAAATGGGTTTTTAATCCAACTGGTTCTAGATTCAGGCAAACCTGAAATGAACGGTCCAATTCAGATGCTGTTACAAACAGTTAAACTCAATGTAAACTTTCTTTGATTAAAAATAACCTAAGGAAGCTTAGCTTTCTCATTCTGACTAAGCATGTGGTGACAGTGGGGGGAAACGCCTATCTTTAAACTGGAGGGATGATAGTCTAGTTTTCAAAACTAGCTGAGAGGTAGAAGTACTTTGATGGGAAGAGAAGACAAAGATAATGGCAGTAGGAGTTCTGTTAATGAATCATGGGGAGAGACATAGCCAAACACACTGAGCCAGAAAGATACTCTATGGGGCAGAAATTTCAAAAATGTCATTCGTATAAAGAACAAGTATCCTCACACCCCTGATTGTAATAAATTATCTGCAACATTCTACTTAATTTATGTGCAATTTTATTAATTCTTAACAAGTTTCACTTTATATAAGCTAATCTTTCCTTGAGGTCAGTTGCAAAATGTGTCCTTTAATGACCTGAGATATCATCTCCTTTTGCCTAGATGTGTAGAAAATTTCAAAATAATTTACATAAGAGTTTGATTTTTTTTTTTTACTGCATTTAAGAAACTGCCTTTCTGTAAACTACCTTTATATATCTGGGAACAGGTAATGGATCTGGAGCTAAAACCAGTCCTAGCTGGTTCTCTGGACTGCCCCACTGAAGCCGTTCATGGCTCCTATCTCCGCAACTGGGTGTCCATTCAACAACATGGTCTGAGCCGCATGAATAGGACTCACATTCACCTGGCGCCTGGCCTTCCAGGGGAAGATGGCGTCATAAGCGGTATTCTTTCTGTTTGAATCTGAAAGGAAAAGTCTGTTAGCTAAACCTCCTAGAATGGCCTTATATCTTTTCCCACCAGGCATGCGGAAAAACTGTGATCTGGCTGTGTTTATTGATGTCCCCAGAGCACTGGCTGGTAAGATGAGCTTCTAATGTCCAACACTCTGCATCTGTGTTTAAAGAAACTGACCTTTTTAACAGTGATTTTATTTGTGTGTTTCCGATTCATACAGATGGTATCGAGTTCTTCTGGTCAGAGAATAACGTGTTGCTGACTCCAGGTGATTCTGAGGGTAAACTCCTTCCCAAATACTTCACACGAGCCCTGAGACTCAGGCCTACAAGTACGAAAAACTAAACACACAAATTCTTATTAAGAAACCAGACGAAGTTCCAGTGTTAAGTCATTTAATTTTCCCACTGTTTCTTTTTCAGGGAGCGTCCTTCCCCTGCAGTAAAGGCTGCAGAGCTTGAAACTAGATCTTCTAACCAAGCACAAGCCCACTTTTGCTATATTTTGTTCTTGGTCTCCATGGTTACACCAGTTTTGCTGCTCTTTGTAATGACACTATGGTGCACATGAGAAACCTTTATTTATTTTCATTATAAACACTACAGTGCCATGGTTAATAATTCATGTTGCATTAGCTTTTTCATATTACAAATGACAAATTCTAATATATTGTACTTGGGTTTAATGTGAGAAAGCAAAGAAGCCAATCAGAATCAGACATACTTTAATAATCCCAGAGGGAAATTAGTTATTATGAGGTGGAGGGTATATAGTATATATATATTTTTATTGCAAATAATCAGAAAGATGTGGCATGTATCTGTATTCAGCCTTTAACACCCCTAAAGTAAATCAATTCTACCTATGCCCTTTAGATGTGGCAGAAATCTTGCCTTTGTGAAAGAGAAGCAGGAAGAGAGTCTTTGTTGAAACAGCAAACGCACAAAATAATTAACTCCAGACTTACAAGACGAAAGTTTTGAGTTACATATATAAAATAGTAGCTCATGATGCACGGTGGTGGCAGCATAGGCTGTGGGAAAGCTTTGTTCAGCAGGGAGAAGAAACCTGGTTATCTATGATAAGGATGGAGGGAGTAAGAAAACAAAGAATATTGTTAAAGGCTGCAAAAGATTTGATATTAGGGCGGATGTTAACGATCTATAGGACAGTGACCTTAAACATGCAGCCAAGGAATGGACTGGATCTCATATTAATGGTGAAGAAGGTTCTAGTCAAAGCTCTGACCCGAATCAAGTTGGTCATCTGCCGGAAGACAGAGGAGAATCCAAGGTTTTTTTACCCAGTCTGACTGAGCTGTAGCTGTTTTTTTTGTTGTTGTTTTAAAGGAGAATTGGCAAATATTTCCGTCTGTTGATATGCAACTCAGGTAAAGGCATAACCCCAAAAGACTTGTAGCTGAAATTGTAGCAAATGGTATCAGATGCTAATTGGAAGACAGTAGTGTCTAACATGTTGAAAACCGTGTGTCATTTTACTTCCACATCACTATTATGAGAAATTTGTGTTGACCTATCACATAAAATCTCACTGTAATAAATCAAGACCATTTCTAATAACAAAGGAAGTATTAGCATGTTGCCGAGGTCAGCGGCAAATAAACCAGAAGAAACAAATTATGTATTTTAATCATCTGTAAATAAAGAGTTAACTTTCTGTGTTTTTGAGTGGTCTCTACATTTGAATCACAGCAGACACTGGAGAACCTTAATAGTTTCTTGTACAATTATAGAAACATGCATACATGTGTGAGATATTTGTTTAGGAGACATCATAAACTTATCTATATTGCTGTGTCCCCCAGGAGAGAAAACCTGAATCACTTGCTTTTGTCCTCAATATTATTATTAGTGGGAAAAGCTAATACAGGTTTCTTTGTTGGGACAATACAGTCAGTTCAATAAATTAGAATATTATTGAAAACTTAATTTTTATTAGTAACTCAAATAACTGAGACAAATCTTAAAGAATAATTAACTCAGCAATGTTTTATTTATACTAACTATGATGATTTCCACTTATAGGCAACAAAAGTATGACATTTAAGCTTAGAATATTCTATCAGACCAATAAAGAGAAAACATGATTAAAACATAAATGAGGCTTTAATGAAACATGTTTTATACCAGTTTATAAGTTGGAATTTTCAGACTGGAGACATACTTAAAGTGTAACTCACCCCAAAATACAATTTTTTCCATTCAAAATGAATAACTGTGCCCTATGGGGTGCTGTATTAATGTCACTGTTAATGTTTTTACATTTTCAAGTGAGATTTTATTACTTCGGCAATTTCCATCTGAAAACCGCCTTTGTGCTGCAACAATGATTGAATGGTGGCTTTTGCAGTTAACATTCGGTTCAAACGGTACATGCAGCACAGGCCTATGTCATAGGTACAGGCATCCTCTCCCTGCCCTGGGATACAAAAGGAACTCATTGAGACGCACGGCTCCATAACGAGTCACGCCTTCCTCCTTTACCTCAGCAGAACCTGGCAGCACCTGTTCTAAGCATGGTGCAGTGAGTGCTGTCTGAACTGATAGGGCTCTGGCTCACTGGGCTCTATAAAGCCTCCCTCGATCACAGGGGAATGGAGCATGAAGCTGATGAAGCTCCCCACACTTAACCTGACCCCTCATGGTTTCTCTGCACTGACCACTTTGGTGGCTTTTTTTCAAAACCTAACTCTTAGTGAGGTTATGGTATTAAATCAGGATGAGTTCCACTTCAATGACTATGACTCTTTAGCCCAGGCATCCCCAAAGTTGGTCCTGGAGGGCCGCTGTCCTGCAGGTTTTAGAGGTTTCTCCGCTTTAGAACAGCTGATTCTGATGATTGCATATCAGCAAAAGCCTGTTAATCAACTGTCAATGTAAATCAGCTGTGCTGGAGCAGGGAAACCTCTAAAACCTACAGGACAGCGGCCCTCAAGGACCAACTTTGGGGATGCCTGCTTTAGCCTCTGCAGATTCAGTATTAATACATGTCTTTCCAGAACAAAGCTGATTACAAATAATGATTGATGACTTGTGGTTTTGGAGCCTCTATAATTTGAACCAGCAGTGGTTTATCACATAGGAGCTGACATGTGGATGTCTGATGGATATTACAATCCATCAGTTTGGATAGAAGGTGGTAGGACTGAGAGCGAGGGGCCAGGCTGGATCCTCTCTTAAAAAAAAATAAAAAATTGAAAGTCAGTCTTTGTGTTTCAGTATTATAGAGCTTCATGGCCTCCGGTCAGCTTATGGAAGAGCTCCTCATTGAGCGTTTCGCTCTTCTCACGGCTGCGTGTGGACATGAAGATGTAGCCTCCGATGAACTCGTGAACGATTTTACAGTCGGCGGTGATGCATCCGAAGGCGATGTTCACGTTCCCTTCAAACTCGATGGCCACCTGGACAGAAAGTTACCCAGAAGGAAACATTAGTTTGGGAAAGAGAATCACTTGTAGGGAAAACCAAAACCTTGCAAATAAGATTTGAGGTTTTTGCCGAGAGTTGTTAAAACATTAAACACATGCTTAGAAATGAGAAAATAAAACCCTTTAGTTGCAGTTTATATTATTCCAGCAGATTTTTTCTGAGGGGAGATTGATGAATGCATGAGTGTGACCTGTTTTATGTCCCAGTTCACGTTCCACTGCTTCATGTTGTTGTATCGCCAGGTCTTCACCACATCGCCCACTCCCAAATCGATACGGATCAGGCGGTTGGGCGCTATGCCCAGAACCTCATCCTTTCTGCTTCCTTTAAACCTATTGGGCAGAAAGCATGTATAAATACATGTGAACACAATTTCCGCCGTTCTTGTGCCTTTATGCCTATCTTTTTGAATGGTTCTGTTATTATTATTATTGCCTTTTATCACATAAATGACTGATTTTACCAGAAAGATGGTTCTCGTTAACTATTGTTAACTATTCATACGCCAAATAGATGCATATAAATCATTATCAGAGGAACGTTAATTGTAGCATTTTTTATTGCAGATAAAAATCAAAATCTTCTCAGCAACACCAGTGGAAAAAAAACAAAATAAAAAGCCCAGACAAGGAGACTAAGACCTCACTCTATTTACACCACAGTTTAACAAAGGACAGTATAAAATTATCAAGATCGTTTCAAAACAGGTAAGCAAGAGTTTCTACCTCTGCTGCTGAAATGTTAAAACAGATATTAGTTAAAGTAAGGTTATATATAACCTTACTTTTTTAATATATAAGGTTATATATAACTTTTACTAAAATTTTGATAAATGTAGTTTAGCCCAAAATTATAATTATTAGTATCCCAGGTTTGAAAAATGTTCACTTTTTTCAGTTTTGAAGTTTATTTCTGATAGAGAAGTTCAAAATCTCATAAAGATGGAAAAAACTGGTTAAAAGGACTGACCGTTTAGAAAAAAAAAATACAGTTTTAAAATTTTTATTTAATAAAGAAATGGAATAACGAAGTAATTTAAAACTATTTTGTTGACTGGCTTTTTCCTGTCATAGAACATCAAAAACTAGTATTTTCTATTATGCATCTCTGTTGATCAGCTCCAAGCCTTTTTGTTGGAATGCCTCCTTAAAATCACCCTAATCTTTAGCTCCCTCTTAGATTTTCTTTCAGATTCAAGTCAGGAATCTACTTCAGCTAAGAAAAAATGTATCTTATGAAGTCAGAGGAAAAATTTTGGTAAAATAAAGAGACCCCCCCATTAGACATTTAAGCAGAGGTCTAGATCTGAGAAGCAGGTTACCACGGTGAACTGTTCAGCTGTAAGCGATCTCTAAATGATGCATGATGCATGAGTAAAGCTCATGCATCTAGTCTCTGTGGAGATGCATCCACACTTAGACTAGCTGCACACATTCAAATAAAAAAAACTACTGGAAACACTTAACATTCAAACTTGAGATGCATAGACTTTATTAATAACATTGGAAGCTAAGTCACTCCCTTGCATAGGAGTGTATCCTGTTAATAAAAATTATTGTGGGGCTCCTTTGCCTTCCTACTTTTCTTGCTTTGTACAAATACTAAAAGCCTCAGAACTGAATGCTGTGACCACTTTGCATTATTAAAGTGCTAAAATCTATGCTCTTGTAATCTTTAAACTGTTTTACAGTGAATTCACTGCTGGTACTAAAAGGACTGGACTAGGGTGTTATAACTTTTAAAGCGCCATTTTACAACCAAAACTCGATGTAATGATCTCGGTACTAATGCTGCACTGCAAAAAATTTAATTCTAAATAAGTCATTGTTTTCTTAAAGTGCATTTTGTCTTGAATTGAGGAGGTGAGACACTTTGCAAATGGAACAAGACAATTTACATTAGAAATAAGAAAAAAAAACATCTGCATTGTCTTATTTAAAGTGCATATTATCNACTATATAACCAGCCATTGGACCAGTCATCAGGGCCAGATTATCTCCTACCATCCTGGTAAAACTAATCCAGCATCATCCTGTTTGCCTGCCTACATGTCTATCTGCTACGTGACCTGTTCTGCCTTCTGCTATAGAGCCTGACTCTGTTCTGACTTTGCCTGCCTGCCCAGAGATCTAATCTGTTCTGCCTCTGGACCTCCGAATCTGCCTGGCCTGGACTGCCTGCCTTCATGTCCGACCTTTTCTGCCTTCCTCTCTCTGGATCACTAACCCGACAAAACCCCACACAACCTGCAGGCCTATCTGCCTGTCGCCTAACAGCCTGCTCCTCTCACGCCTTGCCAATCCCCGGACCTCTAAGCTCCAGCACTGCTCGCCAAACACGTTTCTGAAATAAACTGAATTCAAACATCACTGACCTGTCTTGGTTGGATTTTGGGTCCTGCCTCTGTTCCTCACACTTATTGTGTAAAGAATTTCATTCATTTCAGGCTTATTAGATTGTACCAAATATTTTTTTTCTGTTCTCCTCCCTAACATGGGGAATCACATTGTTATTAATCTGCTCCTCCACACATTCAATGACATCCCTATGATAGCAGCATTACTCTAATAAGAGCAATGGTAAAGAGATAAGGTCAGCAGATCTGCAGAACTACAATTAACCACACTCACTTCAGCATCTCATTAATAGAACTTTTGTCTTTTTTTAAACCTTGTTATATATTAACATCAGTAATAAAATGTTCATCACTTAACAGAAATCAAAGCTTTTACACACAAACCCACAGCTTTTCAGCAAAGGCTCATTTCAGTTTCACATTCAATCTTTACTTTTCTAAGTAGCAGCCAGCTGTGCTGCAAGGCTAGCACTAGTCCCTTTTGAGCTTATACCTGAGAAAAGGAAAATAACTGTTTTTTCAGCTTCTTCCAGCTTTGCTACTAGTAGGATCTCATATTCAGGGATTATGGGTAGTGACGTTGCTACAGTGATTTTCATATCGGCTGCGTTCTGCTGCATCAGATCCATTAAAACTTTACCTGACAACCACATATGAGAGTCCAAAATCAGGCAGGGCCTGCCAGATCTGCAGGAAGCGCATCAGTGCATCTGTCAGGGAGAGCTGAGCCACATTCTGGTAGGCATCCAGGATACGAGGGGTCAGCTGGAGGGGCAGGTAGAGGAAAACCTCTTTAGTTTAAAGGTAAAGACGCTTTAATATTTAGATTTATGCTTTTTAGAGAAATGCATTCCTGTTTTTTGACAAACACATTCAGTGGAGCAAACAGGAATAATAAATACTGTCTATCCTGTACTTGAGCAAACAGAGTTTCTTCCTCTACCTGTTTGGGTTTGTATTTCTTATGGTAGCGTGGTGACACCAAACTGTGAGTGTTGATGCTTTCATCGTTGGAAGCTGCATTATTACTAGAGCCAGAGTTGGTCTTCTGCATGGCCAGAAAGGAACGGATGCTCTGGATTTCACTCTGGAAGCTGCTGTCTGCCAGGCTCTTGCCTTTAGAGGCCAGCCGACACCCGGCCATCCACTGAGCGTATTGTTGCTCCTGCAAAACAAGCATTAGACACAGGAGGGGGGAGCTGATACAGGAACAGCTTTGGGGCAAAACTAAGATGAAAACAGTGATGTTTGGCCTCACGTTCTCACAGCGCAGATAGACCTCGTTCATGCCTTCAGGTGCAGGGATCAGCAGTCTGATTAGGAACTTCTGGGCTGCCACGTTAACGTCCGGAGCCACCTCACAGCCTGGCAGACGGACATTTAGCAAAGTCACACACTGTGTTTTAATAAGCAGCATTGGCTTAACGATGAACCTCTTTACCTACCACATTCTTTCTGGACAATTATTTAGTAGAATGACATATTTTCCTAATGTTTTCAGTACCTTTCAGGTTAATCTGTTGAATGGGTTCTCCAATGCTCTCCTCTTTGCTCTTGAAGTAGGAGATAGACGTATCCTGGAATTTGAACCAGTACTGCTTATATCCCTTCAGAGTTAGCCTCTTTGGCCTGAAGAACATGATCATATTGCTCAGTTCCATCCAAGACAGTCTTTTCTAAATGAAACCAAGTTTAACCAAAGTCATATGAGCATTTAGGAAAACAAATACATACCTGAAAATCTTCAAGTAGTCATTGAGTTCTGGCGCCGTCATGTTTTCCTGAATAACAGTTCATGACAGATGATTATCTACTCCGTGATGTTTTTTTTAAATGATTACAATCAAAACGCATAATTTTTGCAAGCTGTATAACATGTCAGTAGCTCAGAGATTAAGTTTTAAATTTAGCAGTAATTAGGATCATATATGCTGGATTTTGAATGAAAACTAAAGCTACCAGCAGGTCGGAGGCGGAGCTGCTCTCTCCCTCCATCTTAACCTCCAGGGACTGAAGGGCCGACTCCAGGTCGTCCAGGGCCGTGTTAGAAGTCAGCATCCGGGGCTCCGACAGGGACACCTTGTTGATGTGGTACTAGAATGGTTGACAGAAATATTAAAGCTGTGAGCTTAAAATCATGAGGCATGCTAGGTTTCTGTTTCTAAACATGAAGTGACGCAGAAGTAACAGGAACTTCTGGTGCAGTGATTTTATCCTATATATAAAAGCACTTCCAACAAATGCAAATGAAGTCAATTTATGAATCTGTAAATTTACCAGCGATAACCAGAAGTTATAATCCCTCGTCTGACTTCATTTGTCTCATGCATCTTTGTAATCCTTATACATTTGTTCTAGCATATTTCTCTTTAGAGCCTGCTGTATCCTTTTGAATCATTTTAAGCCTGAGCTTTTACTAAACCATTTATGTGTTCTTGATTTATGGGATTCTTTTTTAAATGTATTATATTATGAGTTTTTTTTTTCTTTTTCACCTCCTGGTTTTGATTCTAAATACTATGAAACACTAAAAAGTGTATCCTAGAGCCAATAAATGAGTCGTTTGGTAGCAAATCAATTCCAAAACATCAGACCTCAAAAGTTTTTTCACCCTTTAATGAAGGAGATTAGGCATTCTGAGTTTGTTTTTTGTTTTTTTTGTTTGTTTTGTTTGGTGCACTACATGATATAGTGACAGGGCAGGGCCACAATATGCTCAGGCCTAAATCGTCTCTGGGCCACGCTACTCTGCCAGCTCTTCCTCCTGTCCAGTAACAAGTGAATAAAGGCCATGCAACCTTTTACTTATTTCCTCCTTGATCTAATTCCATTTCCTTTATTTTGATGAAGCTTTAATTTGGAAATGCATTCTCCAATAAATGACTTTTAAATTTAAAACTGAATGCAGAATGTGTTAAAGGTGTA